GAAGGGATCCCTCCTCAGCTTCGCCTTTGGACCATGGACGCAGCCTGTCCCTGGAATAACCCTTTCCCTCCACCCCTGATGCCTGCTTCCCACCTCTAGTGTGGCCTCTTCAGTTTCAGAGTAAGCCAGATGTCCCATCACGTAGATTTCATACACACCTGATAACACTCTGAATTTGGCCTCTTCTCTACCTCACTGAACAGGGGTAACATTTGAGGACAAAGGTGCCATCTGTTTTTTGTTGTTGTTGTTTTTTAATCTTACCCAGTGCACATAGGACAGTGCCCAGCTCCCCACAGAGGGAACGAAGTTGGATTCTGGGGGAACTGCCTTTGTAACTTAATAGGGGTTAATTAAGTCTGTTTCATCTAGACAGGATATTTGTGTGTGGCCATAACAAGACTTACAGTAGGGAGTATTACAAAAAAGTTTTCTTACCCTGGGACCCAGGGTATGAGACCGAAACTAAGGATTTTCCATGAGGAGGGAGACAGCTCCCGCTTCGTGCCAAGCCCCAGCTTGTGGGGAGCGGGTTCTGCCTGCCCTTCTGGTCTCCCCTCTTCCTCTGCACTCTCTCCAAGGTCGAGGTCAGTGAAGCTCCTGGTGGGGAGTGGGGAGGACAGTCGCAGCCTCTGCCCCACCCTGTGCATCTCAGGGGAAGGTAGCTTACACAGTTTTTACAGCCTTATGTCAAGTCTTGAAGTCTTTAGTCACTTGTGAAAAAAAACCCTTTGATTTTGGAACTAGGTTTTCAGTCTGTTGGATGCGGAGGTATGACTCTTACGTGGTGATCTTTTTGTTTTGATGCTGCGGTCCTAATGTAGCAGCTGGTACACTTTCCTAACGGGAGGAGCGTGAGAGAAAATGCATCTTTGTGCTACCCTGGCCGGCTGGAAAGGGCTCGCATCAGCCCCTCGACAGCCGTGGCTTTCTGGGATTTGTGGTTAAAGGAGATAAAGCAGGTCGTTTTGGTTTTCAGAGTCTTAGGGAACTTTATTAACCACACAATGTCCCTTAGTAGTCAAAGTGATGGCTCAGGCCGGGCTCAATTTTTTTCTCTTTTTTTTTTCCTAATGGTGGTATATTTTACCCGCGGTCTAACCTTTCACATACTGACATTAGTAACGCCGCCGGTGATGATCACAGGGGAAGACAGAGTGCTGGCGTGGCGGGCACTGCTCTAAGCGCTGACCGTGCAGCCCCTGATTTAGTCTGGCCGTTTAGCAGTTACTCAAAGGAGCGCATTTTGACGGAAGAATAGGCTGCTGGTGCCCCTTTTCCGAGCCGTTCTGATCTCCCAGAGCCCCTTCCCAGTTCAGTCTCTGCTCCCTCTGTCACCGTTGTCACCCCACAGTGGAAAACCGCCGGGACCAGGAGACAAGTGGCGGAACCCTGCCAGTGCGACCCAAGTTCGCTCCCTTCTCGCCCACTCTCAGCATCTCACGGCACTGGGAGAGTGCCAGGGGGACTCAGGCACCCCGACCTTGTGGCGCCCTGGATCTGACTTGGTTCATTCTGTGCTTGCCAACGTCCAGAGCGAAGAGAAGAGAGCAGAGGGTGCCAGCTCTGAGGCCGTAGCTCCGGGGTCACTTGCACGCGTGACAGCGTGGGCCGGGCAGGTGTTCTCGCTGAGTGAAGTGGGGCTGGGGGTAAGATAGGGGCGCTCCCTCGGCGCGCATCCGGCACTTGTAAGATAAGCTCACACTTCCAGCCGAGAGATACGCTCAGGCCCGTCTTTCTCAAAACACCTGACCTGGCTTTCATTTTCCATTAGACGTAGGAACAGAGAGAGGATTCTGCACTGCAAGAGGAACAACAGCACGAGAGCAGTAGTAACAGAGGGCAGCTGCACTTTAGCAGGAAGGAGACAGAGAGGGCGGGTGGGGACTGTGGCCAACTGGAATGCGCCGGTCTTGTCCACAGGGGCAACTGTGATCTCAGCCCCAGAGCTACTGGATCTTAGAGTTTTTCAGGAGAAGCCGGATTTTGTGTGCAGATCTTCCAGGTTTTTAAATATTAATTTAAATTTACAAACCAAAACACACAAAAAAACCCCACTGTCTGGCAAAACACAACATGTGGCTATGGGTCTGTCACCTCCAAATCCAGGAATGTTCATTCTCACAAGATGGTCCTGTCCTTGGGTAAGAAGTAGGGAATGTTACCTGCAGAAGTACAGGGAAGACGGCCTGTAGTTCAGACTCGTTTAAAACGTCCTCAAGGGGGCCCCCTGTGGTTCAGTCTGGTTCTCTTTAACATTTCAAGTGTCCCCAGCACAGTGCCTTACACACAGTAGAAGCTCAGCCAGACAGGGTTGTTGGTTTCTGCTTATATGCAAGTTTGGTTTGTGGTAGTTTGGGGCTATTCCGCTTCCAGGTAGCTGGTCCTTCGACAGCTCCTGCTTTCGAAACAACTTAACCTCTGAGCTTCAGTTCTGGATTCCTGGGACAGAGGAATCGATTGGTCCCCTGGTTCATCCAGTGTCTGAGGGAAGTAGGGTTGTGGAGTAGAGGCTTCCCCTTCTGGCCCAGGGGTGGGTGGGTGTGGGTAGCAGGGACACCAGACAAGGATGTGTGGACTGGGGAGCAGCAGTGGGCATCTCCTTGCTACATCTTCTTTGGATTGGGATTTCCCCCCTGAGAGAGACAGACAGTAGCTTGTTTTCCATTCTGCATTTTTGTCATTTCTAACAGAGTCCCCCAGATAGCTCCATTAACCTGCCTCTAGCTTAGAAAAGTCAAGTTCGTTTTCTCTAACGTGGCACCTAGCATGTCCTGGGAGCGGAGTTGGATAGAGGCATTTTAGGGCTTGGTTTCTTCTCAGTCATTTCCGGAAGGTTCTGGCTCACCCTGGTATCTAGATGGAGCATGTCCTTGGCAGGCTGGGGTGCTACTAGAAAAGCCAGAAAGAAAGTATATCTTGGTGCAAAATAAAACATCAAAAGTATAAAGGTATTTTGGCACATTGAGAGATGTTTTCTTAAAAAGTTACAAGTTAGGGGGAGCCTGGGTGGCTCAGTCAGTTGACCATCTGATTTCAGCTCAAGCCCCCATGTCGGGCTCTGTGCTGACAGCTCAGAGCCTATAGCCTGCTTCAGATTCTGTCTCCCTCTCTCTGCCCCTCTCCTGATCGTGCTCTGCCCCTCTCTCTCAAAAATAAACAAACATTAAAAAGAAATTTTTTTAAGTTACAAGCTAGGCTTTAAGTGATAAATTTAAAGGATGTTGCAATGACACATTTAGTCAATGTGCAAAACCACATCCTTCCTGCTAAATTTGACTGCTGCTTGTTTTTATAAAGTTTTATTGGAACACAGTGACACCTGTTTGCTTACTTATTGTCTGTGGCTGTTTATTGCCCTACAGTGTCAGAATCGAAGAGCTGCAACAGAGACTGTGTGGCCCGCAGAATGAGAAATATTGAAAAAGTTGGCCAACCTATGTTTTTAGTCATTCATCAAAGTATCTCCTTAGACTGAGAGCAACAGTTATAAGTATATGCAGTTCTTAGAAAAAGGAAGTTGATATTTCAAAAAACAATCCTAGGAGAATGCTGGGCAATTGAAAATAGGAAATGTTCTCATTGCTGTTTTATCCACCTTGACTGACTCAGTGGATTGCTTGATGTTCCCTTGGTATTTCCAGTTGAGATGTGCTGGCCCAGAATGCCCACACTTGGGTTCCTGAATGTATCCTTTGCAGGTGAATCCTTCTTCCCCAAATAAGCTGAGTAGATTTTTATCCTGCCAGTTTAGTTTATGTTTTTTAAGCAAACCTCTGTTTTACATCTTTTTTTATTACCTTTCAATTTATAAAAGATAAAGTGATTGTAAAGAAAAAAAAAACAGAAAATGGACAACAACACAAAGAAGGAAATTAAAAATTGTCCATAATTCTGTCACTGGGGTCCTCTCTCACTCGTGTATTATATAGCTCATTAGACACTTGATATTATGTATTAATAGTTTTTTCACCAAATTGGAAGCATATATGTACTGTTCTGTAACATGTTTGTTTGTTTGTTTTTAATTTTTTTAAGGTTTATTTCTTTTTGAGAGAGAGACAGAGTTCTAGCAGGGGAGGCGCAGAGAGAGAGAGAAGGGGGCACAGAATCCGAAGCAGGTTCCAGGCTCTGAGCTGTCAGCGCAGAGCCTGACGCAAGGCTCGAACCCACCAACCGTGAGATCATGACCTGAGCCAAAAGCGGACACTTAACCGACTGAGCCACCCAGGCGCCCCTGCAACATGTTTTTTAAAAGCTAATATATATTGGGGCACCTGGGTGGTGCAGTTGGTTAAGCAGCCGACTTCAGCCAGGTCACGATCTCGCGGTCCGTGAGTTCGAGCCCCGCGTCAGGCTCTGGGCCGATGGCTCAGGGCCTGGAGCCTGTTTCCGATTCTGTGTCTCCCTCTCTCTCTGCCCCTCCCCCGTTCATGCTCTGTCTCTCTCTGTCCCCAAAATAAATAAACGTTGAAAAAAAAATAAAAAATAAAAAAAATAAAAGTTAATATATACTGAATATTCTCATATCATTAAGTATCCTTTTTTACCACGTTCTTCATTATTACATAGTATCTTCGTGTGTGTATTCCATGATTTACTTCATTTCTTATTGCTGTCTATTTTGGTTTTGAATTTTTTACGATTCAGAAATGACACTAGGTCTCTCTCTCTCTCTCTCTCTCTCTCTCTCTCTCTCTCTCTGATTCTTTCTTTGGGATAAATTCCTTGGATTAGAATCACTGGCTTAAAAATTATGAAGTACTTCTAAGGCTTTCACTAAGCTTTGCCAAATTGCCCTATAGATCTTGCTTTTTAACATACCCACAGACGGGCATGAAAGCACCCAGATTTTGAAAGTAAATCAGAAAGGCTACCGTATTTTTATTTGAAAGATTTCGATAGGCAGAACATTGGTTTAGGTGGCCTTAACCTCATCCACTGCGTGCTTGAATGTCAATGGTGAGCGACTGTTACTTTGGCTTCTCCTTCCCTTTTAGGCTCCCCCTCCCAAGCCGCCGCGCAGGCAAGGAGGCTGGGCAGATGATTCCACGAAGGCTTCAAAGTAAGTGCGGCAGCTCATGAGGGTGGAGGTGGGCATTTTGCTCTTGTGGGTTTTTTCTTTCAGTTTTTAGAACAACTTGATTGAGGTGTAATTCCAATTCCATGTAATTCACCCATTTAAAATGGACAATTCAGTCCTTCCTGGTGCCTTTAACAGAGTTGTGCTACCAGCACCTCAGTCAATTTTAGAACATTTTCATCACCTGCCCCTTTAAAGAAACCTGGTATCCATTACAGTTATTCCCCATGCCCTCCGCCCCCCCCCCCCAACATCCCCAACCCTAGGCAGCCACCATTCTGCTTTCTATCTCTGTGACTTGCCCGTTCTGGACATTTTGCATAAATGGAATCGTACCTCATGTGGTCCTCTGTGACTGACTTCTCACTTGGCTTGACGTTTTCAAAGGTCATCCATATGTGGCATTCTGTGTTCTTTTTGTTTTATTTCATTTGTTTTGTTTCGTTTTAAATGTTTATTTATTTTTGAGAGAGTGAGAGAGCGGGGGAGGGACAGAGAAAGAGGGAGACAGAATCTGAAGCAGGCTCCAGGCTCTGAGCTGGTAGCACACAGCCTGACGCGGGGCTCGAACTCACGAGCCGCAAGATCATGACCCGAGCCGAAGTTGGACGCTCAACCGACTGAGCCGCCCAGGCGCCCCTCTGTGTTCTTTTCTTAAAAAATGGAGGGGGGCGCCTGGGTGGCTCAGTCGGTTGAGCATCTGAGTTCAGCTCCGGTCACGATCTCGCAGTTCGTGAGTTGCTAGCTGCTTTCAGCACAGAGCCGGCCTCAGATCCTCCGTCTCCCTCTCTCGCTGTCCTTCCCCCCCCCCACTCACACTCTCAAAAATAGATAAAACATTTAAAAAAAATTTTTTAAAACGGAGGTATAATCGACACACATTATATTGGTTTCAGGTAAACAACATAATGATTCACTATTTGTATCTATTGCTACATGATCACCACAATGTACAAGTTAACATTCGTCACCATACATAGTTACAACATTTTTTTTTTCTCGTGCTGAAAACTTTTAAGATCCACTCTCTTGGGAACTTTCAAATATACAATACAGTATATATATTTTAATGTTTATTTATTTTTGAGAGAGAGACACACACACACCATGTGAGCAGGGGAGGGGCAGAGAGAGAGGGAGACACAGAATCCGAAGCGGGCTCCAGGCTCCAAGCCGTCAGCACAGAGCCCCACGCGGGGCTCGAACCCACAGACCGTGAGATCATGACCTGAGCCGAAGTTGGACGTTTAACTACCCAGGCGCCCCCTGCAATACAGTGTTATTAACTGTAGTCACCACGCTTACATTCCATCTTCATGACTTAAGTCATTATATAACTGGAAGTTTGTACCTTTTGACCCTCATTCTGTGTTCTTAAAGTAACTTTCTAAACAGAATGGAATGGCTGGTTAGTAATTGCAGGATTACAAACCACTTTGGTCTCTAATTCCTTGCACTAAGTCTTTGATGGGAAGTAAACCAGAAAAAAAATATTTACTACACCAGCAGGATGGCCAGCTTTCAAGTTTAACTATTTGAGATATACTTGGAAAAGGAATTTCTTTTTCTTGAAACACAGACATTACTCTTTTTTTTTTTTTTAAGGTTATTTATTTTTGAGAGGGAGAGAGAGAGAACGCAGGAGGGGCAGAGAGAGAGGGAGGCAGAGAATCCCAAGCAGGCTCTGTGCCATCAGCACAGAGCCCAGTGTGGGGCTGGATGTCACAAACTGTAAGATCGTGACCAGAACCAAAATCAAGAGCCAATTGCTTAACTGACTGAGCACCCCAGGCCCCCCAGACGTTACTCTTGTCGAGAAATTTCCTTCAGCACTTATTGCCTTCAAAGTATATATTTTTCTAATTCTTTTCCTCCCTTCATTTACACACACACACACACACACACACACACACACACACACACGTTTCCCCCTCTGGATCATTTGAAAACAAGTTGCAGACATCATGACATTTCACCTCTAAAATACTTCAGCATGCATCTCTCAAGATTAAGGACATTCTCCAGATAATCACAGTATGATTATCATATCCAAGTAATTTCATAATGAATTAACAGTTAGTATATAGTTTATATTTAAATTTACCCAGTTGTCCCCAAATGTCTTTTATAGCTCCAGGATCCAGTCAGAGTTCACACATTGTGTTGAGTCGTTCTACCTCTTTATCTAAAATCATTTTTATTTAAATCTATCCGGATAAGTGCAGTTAAAGATAAATTTATCTTCTCTAAAATCTCTCTCTTGATCTGAAATAATTCCAATTCCTCCCCCGCTCTCCCAGACTTTTTTGAGGAGTCCAGGCCAGTTGTCTTACAGAATGTCATACATTCTGGTTTTCTCTGATTGGTTCCTCATGGTTAGGTTCAAATTGTAGGTTTCGGGCAAGAACAGGTGGCAAAAACAGTTCTTACCAGAACACAGCCACACCCTTTCATTTTAAAAATTCAGATCTCTGATCTGTTTGGAATTAATTCTAGCCTACAATATAAAGCATGGATTCAGGTTTAATCTTTTTTGAAGTGGCTATTCCCCCCCCACCACCACCATTTATTTAAAAATGCATCTTTCTCCAGGGAATTTAGAAACATCTTTATCATATTCTCCATCATTGTACCTGAGTCTCCTTTTGGACCTGTTACTCTGTCCCAGTGGACTTTCTGTCTGTTCGTATGCCAGTAAATGCCACGCTCTTTGCCTTACGGAACACAGCACTACTTTTCAGTGCTAAGCGAGAACAAGAAGGTAACAGTGCAGTATTAGTGAGAGTCTTAGAGAGTAGCCCCATTTTTCTAAGCTATTAGGGGATTTTAGTGCTTGTAATAGCTGGAATTTATTTTGAAGTATGGAGATGAGACAAATCCTGTATCTGCTCCTTAGAGAACAAAAGAGAATCTCAAAAATGGATCTATGAAATGAATGTATCAATGTACGTATTAAAGATTTTTCCAGATCAGATCAGCTTGCTCTTGGAAAAAGATGCTTTTCCATTTCGTATATTACTTCTCAAAGTATTGTCTTGCGTGGCTCCTTGGTCTGTGGCCTAGTCCTGAAGCTGCTGGGGGGCCCAGGCCTCCTCCTCGAACCTCCTCTCTTCGGCGTCAACCCTCACTCTTGCACGATCTCAACCCAGTCTCGGGAGTTTTGCTATCACCTTCACAGTGACGACTTCAAAGTATATATCCCTCCAGGCCTTTCCCTGGACATCCAGTTATCCACGTGATGTTTCTACTTGAGGACACAACTCAGTCATAGCACGTCTGAATCAGTCGTCTTAATTGCCGCCCCTTCCATCCCGTCCCCTAACCTGTACCTCCCAGAGTTTCCCTCACATCTCCGTAAATGGTGACTCTTCTCTTCCCCGTTTCCCAGGCCATAAACTTTGGAATCCTCTTGGACCCTTCTCTTGGTCTCAACTCATGTTCAGTCTGTCAGCAAACTGGCTCAGGTCTACAGATGAAATACATCTGCTGTGTGTCCTGCCAGTGCTTGGCTGCAGTCACCGTCATTTTTAGCATTGACTCAAGTGAGAACGTCCTGACTGGTCTCCTCCCTTCATCCTTGCCTCCCTCCGTCTTATCTCCATGGAGGCAGAGTGACTTTTTTAAAACATAAGTGAGATCATTTCACGTCTGTTGAGAACTCTCCAGTGGTATTCCCCATAGTCAAAGTACATCACAAAGCTTTTACCGTGGCTTACAAGGCTCTACCTGACCTTACTTTATATAAAGTAGCACCCTGGTCACTCTGTGTTCCCATCTCTTGCTTTATGTGTCAGCATGTGACATATATGCATACATGTACGTGTGTGTGTTTGTGTATACATGCATATGTTACCTTTTTCTCTCTACTGTGATGTAAACTTCTTGAGAGGAGACACACACTGATTTACCTATGCCCAGTACCTCGAATAGCGCCGGTCCATAATAAGTGCTCAGTGACTGTTTATTGAACATATGAGTGATCGCATCAGTGTTTTTGCTATCAGATCGAGCCACTCTGCTATCAGTGTGGAAAGTGGAGGTCTGAAAGGTTGGAACCGCTTTGGGGAAGGTACTAGCCTGTATGAAGGATGATAAGAGCTGAACTAGGGCACTGGTGTGAGCACGGAGAGGAGAGGAGCTTTGGAGACGTTTCGGAGATAGAGTTCACGGACGTGCCATTGGTTGGAGGTAGGGCAGAGGAGGGAGGAGGGGAGGGTCACCACAAGGCGCCTCGCTTTGATGGCTGGTTGGGTAGTGGTGCCGTCAGATAGGGAATGCAGGAGAAACCTGATTTGTAGGCTGGTGGTGGTCCACATAGATAATTTCCACAGTTTGGGAGTCTGGAAGGGAGGTCAAAAGAGAGGTGCAACTTGGATCATCTACGCAAGTAGAAGTCAAGGATGGAGCCTTGGATTTGGCTGTTTGGAGGTTACTAGGGACCTTTGAAAAAGTGGTACTGTGATTTGCACTGGGGCAGAAGCCAGATGATGGGCTGAGAAGGAATTGAAGCGGGAAATGGTGAACTGGTCTCCTTCCCTGAGAAAGAAAGGAGATAATGGGACTGTATTTGGAAAAAGTAGTTTGTGTTCAGAATGATGTGTGTTATACGTGGGGAAAGAGTGATTGCAGGTGAAATAGGGATTTGACCAAGCAGATCCTTGGAAGGATAGGACCTTCCAAGAGAGATTAATTAACCTTGGACAGAAGGAGGCGAGGATGTTTTTCCTCCAAGATAGGGAGCTTGGAAAAGTTGGGTAAGTGACCAAGAAGAATTCAGGGAGTAGGGAATTGGGGGAAGTTCATTTTGGATTGGCCTCTTGGTTTTCTTCTTTTTTCAAAGTAGAAAGGTACACTGTTGAGTTCACTGGAGCAAAGGAGAGCTGGTCTCAGGAGGCAGGCGGAGTAGATGTGAGGCAGGAAGAGAATGGGCACTGACTAAGGGTGAGAGAGGCCGTTCTTGGGCTACATTGAGAAGCTACCTG